CTGGTTTCGTGCGGGAACTACGAGAACGTCTCCCGAAATGAGCTAAGGTGTGATGCGCCCACGGTGGACACAGAAACCCATTGTCTGATCGCAAGTTACGCGGCTTGCCGCAAGATAAAGCTCAGGTGCGGGGATATCTCTTCGGCATACTTTCAGTCAGAACCGCTGGAAAGAGTAATCATCATGAGGCAGCCGCGAGGAGGATTGCCAGGTGTGCCGCCAGAAGCTATGTTGCTGTGTAGGTTGCCGGTGTATGGCACAATGGATGCTGGCAGAGGGTTCTACACACGTCTGTGCAATGTGTCATGTGAGGAAGGACTCAGGGTGAGCAAGATTGCAACTGGATTGTACTACGTGCTAGGGTCTGACAACCTTCCTGCAGTGCTGCTGGGGACCCATGTTGATGACCTGCTTTGGTGTGCGACGCCAGAAGGAGAAGAGATCATGGACAAGATCATGGCCAGGTTTGACATGGGGAAGATTGAGGACACGGATTTCCGGTATTGCGGCCGGAGGTTTAGACAGGATGCCGACTTCAACGTGACCATCGACACGGAGGACAACACAAGGTCCATTCGGCACATCAGTATCGATCCGAACCGCAAGGGCACAGAAGCAGCAACGGAACAAGATGTGACACGGTTGCGCAGTGTAGTAGGCTCGTTAGCGTGGGTTGCAAGGTACTCGCGTCCAGATTTGTGCTACCGAGTCAACTGCTTGCAGCGTGCTTGCGCGAGGGCAACAGTGGCCGACTTGAGGGATGCCAACCGAGTGGTGGATCTAGCCAAGGCGGATATGGGAATCGCAATGTATTACCCAGCGGGAAAATTCTCATGGCATGATGCGTGTGTGGTCAGCTTCTCGGATGCAAGCCATGCCGGAGAAGAAGGGCTACGGAGCCAACAAGGCCGATTCCACTACATCACATCGGAGAAGATGGTGGATACCAATGAGCACGACGCGCACATCATCGGCTATGGTTCGACAACCATTCGCCGGGTATGTCGAAGCACCCTTCAGGCCGAAACCTATGCGATGCAGACTGCGGTCGAGAGTGGTGGCCGGCTACGGGCTATTCTGTGCGAGTTGAGGGGCCAGTTGCCGGTCCTCAAGGATTGGATGGAAACCACTCAGAAGGTCATGAGACATGAATGGGTTTCCGATTGCCGGAGCTTGACAGACCATTTAAATTCATGCCAAGCGAGCAAGGTGACCGATCGACGACTCGCCATCGAGCTAGAATCGATGCGTCAACAGCTATGGGAAGGCGATAGCAAAACCTACACGGTCTACGATGGCCATGGTGATCGCCTTCGCTGGACTGATACGGCGACACAGCTCGCCGACGCATTGACAAAGTCGATGAAGCCATATCAGCTTTTCAAGGTAATGCGTGAAGCCAAGGTTTACCTCAGTGATCCAGAGAAGAAGATCAAGAAGGGCACACAACAAGGTGACCAGTGACAAACCTGAGACTCCTTTAAGGACGAGGTGTGCTGAGTCATGTGAATTGGCATGGGAATCGCGAGCTAGTAGTAGCGTGGAATAGCGATCTAGTAGTTGCCGCAGAGTCGCTTGCATGTTTTTGGTGTACAGTGTTAGTCTTGACAGCCGGCATGCGTCAGTAGATAAGACGGGTGAGAATACCTCCTCGTTTTGCGATGTGTAGCCTGAGCGCATGCCTAGGAAGCCTTCATTGTAAAGTGCTAGTGCGGTAGGAAACATCAATTGTATGTGCTGACCGTAACGTTCCTCTCGAAGGCGCCTTGAGCTAGCTGGCAAAAAGTAGCTGTCCGAAGCGCTTTGTTATCAAACAAGGTACTTTTTCCTGGATTTGACTAGGCTGATGAGTCGTTACAGGGGTCCTCGACCTTGGGTTTGGATCTATAGCCTTTTGAAACGGTGTTGGGGGTTTAGGGCTTTAAGGGTTCAACGGTGCATTGGGTTCCCTAAGCCGTAGGCCGGAATCGTTGCCGGGGCAGGATCAAAGTGTTTTCGATTGGGTGTGATTGCTTCGGGTTTGTGATGGTTTGTGTGAGGTAGAAGCTGAAGTATTTTTCAACGGGACGGAACTCACAAGCCAGTGCCCGTGCCCGGGGGCCCCAATCCTCTTCAATTGATGAATATATTGTAGAGCATAGATGGATGGATCTTTATATCAATTTCAAGCGAAGCGCAAGACCTTGAGCCCGAGTGTATCCTGGTGTAGCTGCCTGACTAATCAACCACAATCAACCCAACTGCTTAAAGGCCCTCATCCTCGGCCTCCTATTCAGCTCGAAAAACTTGAGGAAATACTTTGCCTTCCACGATCATCACTCCTCGGCAGTGAGGAGACTTTGCCTCGCATCAGTGAAGCTTCGCATAGATTTCGTGGCTTTTGGCAGCGAGGTTATGCAGAGGGAGTATACGGGTATTTGGTAATTAATTGAAATAATGCAATAAAGTAATTAGGATAACCTGAACTAAGGCTACTTGAAAGTGAGTCTATTCCAAGATTTCACCTACTTACGAAGTCCCCTTTGCCTCCAAGCATGGGGTGTTCGTTGCACTTGGCAATCTGGAACATGGCCTTCACAACATTGCTCGACAATCTCAACCCTAAAATCCTCGGCTCTAAACCTCCAGACCCCAAGGCCCCAAAACCCAATACCCTGAACACTCAACTACCTCTACCTCATATTTCAGTTCTCTCGCCTGCGCGCCTCTCATGAGGCAAGCCATCACGGAGTTCGAAGACTTGGGGGCGCTGGTGAATTGTCAGGCCATCAGCCGAGAAACCTCTGTACACGAGGGGGTTTGAGAAGGCTCTGAGATAACGAGTTTAGACTTTAAGGTTTAGGGTTTGGATTTTCGCGTTCTGGGATGTGGGGACCAAGCCGACCAAACCCTACTTATGGTGGTGCGAGTAGTGAGGGCTTTGTATTGGGATGTATAGGGTTTTGATCTGCTAGCTAGTAGCAAATCCAGGAATTGCTCCATACTTCAAAGATCAGCTGCAGTCAGCCTCGGCAGGCAATCGGTTCTGGATGGGATGGGTCTACGTGGTTCGACGGTTGGGAAGCCATCGAGACGACCGTGCCTGAGGGCCGTGTCTGCCTTCGTGGGAAGATGGATAACCTGACACCCGCCTTTGTCAACAAGACCTTCTACGTCTATCAGCGGCTCGATTGCCGTTGAGTCTGGAGGCTAAGCGGCAATGAAGCTGCGTAGAGCAACAGCTACTTGCAGTGAGTTCCTGAATGCCGTCCGCTAAGCCATTGATACCAGCAGGGAACGAAGTAGCCGAGACACGAGACATCGTTGCCCCAAATACACACAAAGCACAGGAACCCCTAAAGCGAAGCGCGAAAGGTGCAGAGCAATCCCGGAGACCCACTTGCGATAACAATGAAGACAACTACGGGTTTAACTGTACAGCTATTTGGCCCAAAAGCTGTACTCGTAGGCATAAGAAGAGATACCCTTGAATCTTGAAGCAGGACCCCCATTGACGGGTTTCGCAAGGAGATGGACTGCCAGTTTCTCGCAGATAGATCCTTGGCGATCTTCCATCACTTGATTGGCACAATCCTGCGCTGCCTCATGCAGCCCCCCAAAACAACTAGTATATGCCAGAACTCCAATGTCAGGGCTGGTTGGAGCAGACTTCAAGGAATAACAGTCCGGGAACTGGCCTTGTCATGTCGAGAGTTCATTTGCATCGATCGCGAGCCGAGGAATGACCTGTGGTACACTGCAGGGCAGCTGGATGTTTCGCAGCGAAGGTCGCAGGCTGCACATCCTATTGGACAACCCGTCCGGTGGAGCCTTGGAAGTCACATTCAACAAGGACCACACAGCATTCACCATGGGACATCGTGGATTCACGTATTTTGCTTTGCAAGAAGCGCTGGTATTCAGGGCATTCAACCAGGCCAACTGGCAGTTCGAATATGCAGAGAGACTGCCGCTTTGAACCTGAAGCTGCACATCCTACTAACCTGCTGGGTCGAGCCGGGGCAGTGCCCAGACCGGCGACGCGTGCTTTGAGTTCCATACAGCCACGGGAAGCTCATCTCCCTGCTGGCAGAACCCTGGCCTGCCTGAAAAGTCTTCGATTTTCCTGCTAATGGTTCTACGTTAGGACCTACGAAACACTTTGTGATCCCATTACAGGCAGTTGTGCAGAATGTCAGACCCTGCAAACAACTACCACTGAATCTTGAAGCAGCAGCTGCATGCTTTCATTCATTTGCGCAAGTGGTGGTCTGAAGTAGTCATTGCAGGCGCATTCGGGGCAGGCGTCAGACCATTGGTTTTCGGGTGGATCACAGGAACATTACAGAGGTCTGCAGAACTAAGGGCCCCCCTGACCATTCCCAATGTCGTGGACTGCGCTCTACATTACATACCCATATGGTGACCCGCAGCGAAAGGAATCAGCTTTCGCTTTCGGAGGGGATTGGGCTTTGCATTTCTTGTTCTCCCTTGCCGCGTGTCTTTGGCCCAAGCTGAGTTGTCAGCATTTGACGGTTACTTGCTGCCGGAACTGTGCTTGCCTAAGCCCAAGGTCTCGCTGCATCTGCCAGATGGAGGGCTAATGTTGACTTGAGCCAGAGAGAGTTGGAATGGCAGGCCCAAGCATGTTGGAAGATTGGTTTGATACTGGAGAGGCGGTACGTGCATGGTTTTGAAGGTTGAGACTCATCCACGGAAGCGACAACGGGCGGAACTTCTGGAGTCAAAACTCGAAACTAGCAGTGTTTGTTGTTTCATGACCTCCCTTTCACCAAGCACCACACCTGTGATCATACCTGTGCACCAACCCGCTCTGTTGGCCTGTTTCTCCCGGAGCTGTGGGTTGTGCAATTTCGAATCACGTGATGAACGGGGTGGTGCCGGACGACAACGCATTTAGGTGCCACGGCTTGCTCCGCGGAGATGAGCTGCAGATTGTTTGCAGTTGCATCATTGTACATAGATGTGTTTACGTCGAACGGAGCGTCGTGCTGCTGTAGGACTTCGCCACAAAACTCCGAGTTGCTGCGCTGATGCGGCGTTCTTAGACAAGCTGCAGTGTTTAGCTGGGGCGTGCCGCCGTGAGTTGCCTAGGCTTGCGAGAGGAATGAGGCTTGACGAGAGTTTGGTCCAGATCCCGTCTCGTTTCTTTGGATGCCTGGATACATATGTGCTGGGCATTTACGCCGAGGCCTCTGCGTTGTGGCGAGAGATGAATCGTCTCCCGCACATCTGGTCAGTACCTGGCATGGCATCCTCTGTTGAATTACGCTGGCGATCGTCGACTGACCACCTTAGAGAATAGCCAGGTCAACTCCACTGCCGCACGTGACCGGCTTGGGCACCCTTCTCGCAAGAGTGCAGTAACGCAACCTGCACCATTTGATAAATTCCGACCTCGTCTGGACTTTGCTTTGGGCTAAGGACGCGACTCCTGCAGTCTCGGCGGCTTGGAGCAGTCAGTGCCCAATTGCTCGAGGTGATCCCACGCACCTCGAAAAGTTGTCAGACTGAGGCTTCGCCAGTGCGTCAAAGCGTACGCTCAGCTGGCAGCACCTCGCAAGACCGGAGAGCTTTGAAAAAAGGGTCGAGCGTCGCAAGACGTCGCAAGATTGTAGGAGCTCTGCATTGGCACCAAAGTGGACAATTCCCAACAGCACGTACTGCCGGGTTTCAGTCTCTGAACAGAAGGGTCCCGGTCAAAAGTGAGACGATGGTCCGAACCCGGAGGAATCCGGAAATGACCAAACATGAAAGGGATCAAATGTGGGACGGCTGAAATTAAACAGAAAAGACCGGACATGACCGTGAAGAGGGGTCAATTGTGAGACGGCTGGGATTAAACGGAAAAATCCTGAAGTGACCAAATATGAAGGGGCGTTAACTGTGAGACGTCTGTGACTAAGCGGAAAAGTCCGCAAATGACCAAAGATGAAAGGGATTCAATTCTGAGACGGCTGGGACTAAAGGACACTTCCGCCAAATGTGAGACGGCTGGAACTAAACGGAAAAATCAGGAAATGACGAAATCTGAAGGGGGATCAAAAGTTAGAGACAAAACGGAAAACTCAGGAAATAGCCAAATATGAAGGGGGTAGAATGTCAGACGGCTGGGACTAAACGGAAACGTCAAGAACTTACCAAATATGAAGGGGCGTCAAATTTGAGACGGCTGGGACTAAACGGAAAATTCGGAAATGATCTAAAATGAAGGGGCGTCAAACGTGAGACGGCTGGGACTAAACGGAAAAATGACAAAATTACCACATGTGAATGTGGGGGCTCAATTGTGAGACGGCTGGGACTAAACGGAAAGTCCATACGAACGCATCCGGAAATGACCAAACATGAAGGGCGGTCAAACTTGAGGCAGCTGGGACTAAACGACAAAATCCGGAGAATAACCAAATATGAAGGGCGGTGGCAAGTACGACGTCAAGGACTAAACAGAAAAATCCGAATGACCAATTTTGCAGGGGCGTCAATTGTGAGACGGCTGGGACTAAACGGAAAGATCGGAAATGACCAAATTAAATGTGAATGGGAGCTCAATTGTGAGACGGCTGGGACAAAGCCGCAAAGCCGGAGATCACATATTGAGCGGACCCGGAATATTCCGGAAATTGACGAATATGAGGGGTGATCAATTGTGAGACGGGCGCTCGGTCAAAAGTGAAGCGATCGGTCCGAACCCGAGAAAAAATCAGGAAATGACTGACCTGACCAAATATGATGGGGGATCAATTGTAGACAGTCGCCCTGTCAACAGTGACGCGATCGGTCCGAACCCCGAAAATTTCGGAAATGACCAAATATGAAGGGGGATGACTTGTGACACGGGTGCCCAGACATGAAGGGGGAGCAGTTACGAGACGGGCTCCCGGTCGAAATTGACGCGATCTGTCCCAGTTTGGAGAAACCGGACGGTCCGGACCAGGAAATGAACAAATATGAAGGGGGATCACTTGCGAGACAGGTGTTCTGTCAAAAGTGACGCGATCGATCCGGACCCAGAACAATCCGGAAATTGCCGAATATGCAAGGGGATCGATTATGAGCCTGGCTCCCGGTGACAAGTGACGCGATCGGTCGGGACCCGGAAAAATCTGCAAATGACCAAGTACAACACAGGATCAAGCGTGAGACAGCAGGGCTTAAAACGGAAAGAAGCGAACATGATTAAACGAGAAGGGGGATCAATTGTGAGACGGCTGTTCCGACCCGAAAAATTTCGGAAATGACAAAATATGAAGATTGATCAAACGTCAGACGGCCGGGCTTGAACGGAAAAATCCGGAAATGACCAAGGATGAAACGGGAATCAAATTTGAGACGGCCTGAAGGGAGATGTCGGCAATTACCGAATGTCGGGTGGAGACGGCTGCTCCTACACGGAAAAATCCGAAAATGACTGAATGGGGGATCAAATGGGAGACGACTGGGCCTAAACGGAAGAAAGCCGGAAATTATCATATATGTATGATGCGACCAACTGACAGACATTTAATCCGATCCGGAAAATTTCGAACATGGCCAAATATGAAGAGGGGAAAAATTGACATGGCCGGACCCAAATTGAACATTCCGGAAGTGACCAAATATAGATAGGAATCAAAAACGAGACGACCGGGCCTAAACGGAAATTTCAGGAAAAGACCATTTATGAGGAAGCATCAAATTTGCGACAGCTGGGCCTAGACGGACGAATTCCGGAAATTACCAAATATGAAGAAGGATCAAACATGAGACGGCTTGGCCGAAACGGAAATTCCGGAAATGACCAAGGATGAAGAGGGATCAAATGTGAGACGACTAGGCCTAAACGGAAGTTCCGGAAATGACCAAGTATAACAAGGAATCAATTGTGAGACGAATGAGCCTAAAGGGAAAATGCTGGAAATGAAAACATATGAAGAGGTGTCAAAGTGGAGACAGCTTGGCCTAAATACGCAAATATTCGCAAATGACCACATGCGAAAGGGGATCAAAAGTCAGACGGCTGTAAAGCCGGATCAAACAGGAGACAGCTAGGCTTCATCGGAAAAATCAGGAAATGGCGAAATATGAGGGGAGCAAACATGAGACGGCTGGGCTTAAACGAAATACCCAGAAATGATCGAAATTAGCTACGGATCAAATGCGAGACGGACGGTCTATCCAGAAGAAACTCGGAAACGACCTATGATCAATTATGATGGGGGATCATATGTGAGATGACTGGGCCTAAACGGAAAAGCGACATAACTAAACATGATGGGGGACCATCTGGAGGATGGCTGCATCTAAAGGGGAAAACGAATGCTCAAACATGATGGGGGATCAAAGGTGAGACGGTTGGGCCTAAGCGGAAAAGTCCGGATATGACCAAGATTGAAGAGGGCCGGTCACGTGTGAGACAGCCGGTCCGACCCGGCCAAAATCTGGAAATGATCAACTGTGAGTGGGGATGAATTGTGAGACGGCTGGTCTTAAACGGAGAAATCCAGAACATTTGGGACATGTTCAAAAGTTCAAGAATGAAGGAGGCTTAACCAAGTGTGAAGCAGCAGCCCGAAATGACCAAATATTCAAGCAGCAAATGCTGCAAGGTCGGGCCAAGCTTGAAGCATCCTGAAATGACCAAGGATGGAGCGATCCAATATCGCATGGACAGGCCAGACACGCAAAGTAATATCTGACCGAGGATGATGAGCACATCGCCGGACAAGCCGCCAAACTCTATAAAATGAGGCGGGCATATCCTCAGAAATGGAGTGGACATGAATCTCAAGCCAAAATGGAAGCAGAGATGAACCGGAGATGGCATGAATCGGACGTAACACGCAAAACCGAGGGGGGAGGAGACGAAAATGAAGCAGACGTGTAGCTGACATGGACCGGAGATGTCCGGAGACAAGCTGACACGCAGTTGAGATGCGGCGAAGAAACAGGGAAGTTCAGTGGAACAGAAACTGACTGACATGTAATGAGGGTGAAATGGACATGACCTGAGCGGTCCAGCTCGTGTAAGTTTACGATCGACGATGCTTTGTCTTTTGCTCTCAATTTGTGATCCAAGTTCATGGTGGTTTGTTTGGCACGGTTCGCTGTTTTTCAAATTAAATATAACGCTACGCCGCCTGCCTCGGCTCTTTAGCGGCAGGGCGAGGGGGCAGTGGATGTCGTGTACACCATGCTGGGTGTCGAGTGCGGGAACGCCATCTTCCTACGTCACTGCTCTTCTGCTACTCATGCGGTCAAAGGGAGGAGGGGGGAGGGGGCGGGAGAGGGAGGGGGGAGGGTGAGATGGGGGGTGGGGGGAGGGAAGGGGCAAGGGGGCCTGGCCTACAAATCAGGTAAAATGCAGGGAAGCCGGGCAAGGGGGTGGCAAACGAACGCAAAAACAGGGTGTCTCCAAACTTTCGGACTGCAGGGAGGAGGATAAGGTGGAGGGTACCTGAGGTAATCCCCAAGACGCCTGGGCCTGTGGCCTCGGCGGACTGTTTTGTGACTGCTACAGTTGGGTTCGATTGCTCCTTTGAGTGATACCTGGTTGCAAACGGCATGAGCAGGTTCACGCTTCTTGTATTTCAACTGGGATTTAAGATTTGTTTGGCATCTCCTAGACAAGCCGTGCACACAAGTTACCACCCCACCCACTGGCAAAAGATATGAGAGCACATTTAGCTCTGTGCGCGTGTGTGCGTGAATTCACACTTCCATTGTGAACTTACACGCGAAACTTGGCAGTGAAATAGACATGCATACCTTAATTGGCATCAACAGGCTTGTTCTAAACATCAAGCAGCCAATTACTTTTGGCAAGCATTCAAGATTTCTGATGAAACCTCTCAGGGCTTAGAGTACCCCGGCAGTCCCTTTGCTGTACGCTTTGGGAGACTCTTGTGCACCGACCGGTCGAAACGGGGAGATCGTGATTTGGTGTTTTGATGGGCTTGTCCGCCTTGGAGACTGCCGTGATTTCAAAGCCCATTCCAGGGTCTCCGAGACTTTGATGGGTTTCTAAATTCTCCAGGAGCGCAGATCTTCCGGCTTCCAAAGGCATGGTCTTCCTGGAAGCTTCCAACAGTGTGGAAGTTCCTTATGTTTTCGAAGGGCTAGGTAGAGAAGGGTTGATCAGTAATTAGGGCAGAAACGGGGAGCTAGACTGTATGGAGTAAGTAGGGCTATGGATAGGGAGGGGTAAGAAGGAAAATAAAACAAGGGACAGGCTCACCATCAAACAGCAAGACTATGTACACATTATGTGACGGACAGGTCCCTACCCTTATGCTTCTTGGATTTCCCAAATAACCGCCTTACCTTGCCGCGCCAGAGCCTATGCTGCCGGTGCCCCATTCTTTCCTCCCCAAACATAGCTGCCCTACTTCCCTACCTTCCGTTATGCCCCGCCCTCCGTTGCCCTTTCTACTACCCTAGTAGCTACTTGTTCTAGATTCTGGGTAATCAGTCCGTCGCCTGCCGCCCCAAGCTTCCCTAAATGATCAAAACCCCCCATTCTTTGCTCAAGAACTTGAATTATTTTGTCCACCTGCCTGGTTTGTGAAGCTGGCCTGGTTGTTTGGAATCATCGGCTGCT